AGGCGCCCGATCGCAGGTCCGGCTGGTGGAGTCCGGGGGCGGCGTGAAAAGAGCCGGCGAGTCCGTCAACCTCTCGTGTGCAGCCTCCGGGTTCACCTTCGGGGACTACTGGATGCACTGGTACCGACAGGCCCCCGGGAGGGGCCCCGAGTGGGTGTCCTATATCAGCCGGGACGGCTCTGCCTCGAAGTACTCCGACCCGGCCAAAGGGCGGTTCACCGTCTCCAGGGACAATCCCAGCCGCCTGCTGCACTTGCTCATGACGAGACTAAGCGAGGAGGACAGCGCCCGGTATCTCTGCGCCACGCACAGTGCTGGGGAGCCGGGCTGAGCTCAGACACAAACCTCCCCTTCCTGTCACAGGCTTCCCCGAGGGAGCCCGTCCCGCCCCACCGCTCCATCGCCTGCTTGTCAGTCGGGCACTACAGCATCCAGGAGACAATTTCTGGGGTCCACTCAAGGCTGCAAAGGTTGCGAAACATGGGAAAGCTGCGGCCTCTGCCCCCGTCCCTGGCGCACCCCACCCAACACCCGCAGAGTTCGGGTTGCACCGGGAATCCAAGTTCTGGCTTTGCCCATGGTGCAAGCGCTTGGCTTTCGCTGCTTAAGGTTCTTTTCAAGTAGTTTTTAAATATGCAGTTTCCTATAAGTAAAAAAATTGAAAAGAACCCCCCTCAAATCTTCCTTGCTATGGAGCCACATTGTCTCCGACCCCTTCGTCTGAAAATGCGGAATTGGCATTTTCAGAGGAGTGCGCTCTTTGTCTTAGATGCACCTCTCCCGCTAGGTTATCAATTTGCCACTTCCTATTCCGGTAGGGGGTGTCACGCTTTTGTGGCGTAGCATGTGGGGAGTTGACTGTGCGCCTTCCATCCCAGTGCCAACCCGCAGAGGGCAGCATTTTGTCTTCGGCGCCCTCAATCTGCGTGCGATTTTCATTGGGTTCTGGAATATCGGAGGCTGCGAATCTCTCTGCGTCCGCGCCTGGAAGCTGGGGCCCGAGAGCGAGGCCGGCAGAGGTTCACAGCCCTCGGCTTGTCAGTCGAGCTCCTCCCGGCACCCCAGGGGCTGGAGATGTTGGTGCCCCTCCCCATAGTGCCATTGGGCTTCCTGGAGAGGCACTGAGCCAAACATTCCCTGCCTAGACCCACTCAGGGGCTGCTCCCTCCCCTCCCCCAGTCCTCTGCCAGGGGCCGGAGCAGAAGCCGGCAGGGGGCGCAGCGCGCCCTCATTACAGAGCTCTACCCCCCTGGGGCATGTGAAACGGGCCGGGGTTGGGGGCTCACCGTCGTGTGTTGCAGAGAAGTGAGAAGGGAGGGGGAGCGCGCACAGACACAGACTGACAGACAGACACACACCGGATACATGCTCACACCAGCCTCCGTGCCTGCCATGCCGGGGTCTGTGTGGCTCTGTCTCTGCGCGCTGCCGCTCTTCTCAGGTGAGCTCCGGGGGGAGGGGCGGCCCGTCTCTCCAGGGGGCTCCCCTCGCGCCCTGACTCGCTCCGGATTCTCCCCTCCCAGGTGCGGTGTCCGGGAACTCGCTGAGCCAGAGCCCGGCTGCCCTGCGGCCCAGGGAAGGGGGGCCGGGGTCAATACAGCACCTCGTACACCTACTTCGCCCTGGACTGGTACCAACAGCGGCCGGGGGCGCCGCCCGTGTTCCTGCTGCGCAGATATTCCGGCGGCTCTGAGTACAAGCCCAGTTCGGTGCCAGGCCGGTTCTCCTCGGAGCTGGACACCGGAGCGAAGTCTTTCCGGTTCTTCATAGCCGGGGCGCAGCTGGCGGACTCGGCGGTGTATTTCTGCGCGCTCTCGCAGGACACAACGATACAGAGAGCGCCAAGCTCCCTACACAAACTGTGTGTCTGGGGCGGGAGGGAAGGGGTTTCGGTTTCCAGAGCGAAGGGAGCTGAGTCGTGTCTGTCCCTCTCCCGGGCCTCGGGCTGGGGGAGAGAAGGCTCAACTCAGAGCGCTCAGAGAATCGCTTGTGTCGGTGCACGGAGGGATGTTCCCAGCGCTCTAGGAGGTCTCTGGAGCCGCAGAGCGGGGAGTGCACAGTGACCCTGGTGTGGCGCAGTGGGGGGCTGTCTGCCCTGTAACCCTGCGCTGTGATGGGAGATTCTCACCGACTCTCCCAAATGTGTATTGGCCCAGACACTTAGGCTCAGCCATCCAGGGAGAGAGACAAAGCGAGGAAGGCGGAGACCAGCACCTGGCAGGGGGGCAGGGTCTGGGAGGGAGGCAGGGGCTGTCCGAGAAGCATGGAGAGAAGAGGCTAAGCTGGGGCCTAGGGTGATGGACCCTCTACCCGTAGGGCAGAGGCATCCTGGCTCTGGCCCCTGTAGCCACGTCACAGATGGAACAATAAACCCCTCTCGATTCTACAACTGGCGGGGTCTTTTCTTGGTGCTACGGGCTGGCAGGAACGGGAACCCGGGAACCCCTCTGCATCGTCACACCCGGGCAGAAGGGAGGCCAGACGCATTTGGGGACGCGCTGCTATCGCAAAGGGGGTTAATGCCCCGCTCTCTGCTGCCAGCAGGGACCGACACTCCCGGGTCAGGCTACGGGCTGTGTAGCCGGCCGGGCTGCGTTTCCGGTTCCAAACCAGTCACGAGACACTGGATAGCTCTTTCTGGTGAGTCAGGGCAGGGAATTACTCGCCTCCTCCGGGAAAGGAGCCGGAAACCGAAATTGTTCGACTCGTTGGGGAATCGGTGACATCGTAGTCTCGGGCGACCACTAAGGAAATGACGTGGCTTCCTGGGGTCGCTCAGGGCTGGGCGAATGGAAGGAGCCAACTTGGATTTATTGCTGGAGCCTCCCTCCGTCCCCCCGCCTAAAGGCGAGTGGGGCTGTTTATGAAGATTTGTGTCTCCCGCGAGGACAATTGCCCTGGGTCCGACTACCCCCCCTGCGCCCCTGGGGTGTAAATGCCCCTGCTGAGGGTGGGCGGCTGCACAAAGGGAATGGCAGCTCTCCCCCGGGGCTGATTGGTCTGCGCCGAGAGAAGAGACCGCATGCAAATGCAGTGACGTCATTTCCTGTCACACACCCCTCCCCCTCGCAGTGTCTCTCTCCCGGCAGGGGGCAAGCGCGGCCGCCCCGGGTGCCTGCAGGGATCACTCACCGGTTCCCAACCCGGGGGCGTCTCCCCGGGCCGCTCGGCGCACGATGCTGCTCTGGCTGCGCGTTGCTTTCCTGGCGGCTCTTCCCCAAGGTGACCGTGGCCCGGGAGGGCGCGGGGAGCCCGGGGTCCCGGGGCCCAGGGCTAAGGCCGCTCTCTGCTGTGTCCGCAGGTGCCCGAGCGCAGGTCCGGCTGGTGGAGTCCGGGGGCGGCGTGAAAAGGGCCGGAGACTCTCTGCGCCTCTCCTGCAAAGGCTCCGGCTTCACCTTTAGCAACTTCACCATGAGATGGTTCCGCCAGGCCCCCGGGCAGGGGCCCGAGTGGGTGGCTACGGTCAGCCCCATTAGCTATTGGGCCGGAACCGACAAGCGGTACGCTGGGTCGGTGCAAGGGCGATTCACCATCTCCAGAGACAACCCCAACAACCGGCTCCATCTGGAGATGGGCGGCCTGAGAGCCGAGGACACGGCGGTGTATTACTGTCAGAGAGACACCGTGAGCGGCAGGGACTGGAACCGCGTACAAAAACCTGCCGTCGGCCGCGGGGCAGGGTCCCACACACCGCACTGACCCGGGGAGAGACTGTCCCCGCGCTGCAGCCAACACCTGGGGAGCCGTAATTTGAGGGAGGGGGGGCAGTGAAGGCTGCCAAGGCTGAGGCGCATTAATTGGCCTTTATCCTCCTCCCGGACTCCCACTTCCCCGAATCCCTGAAGCAGGGGGTCCCACAGAGAACAGCCTCCTTCCCAGCCCCGATTCATTCCCCAGCAGGCCCCTTCCCAGCAGGGGTGCCTAGCCGGGGTCCCGTGGGAAAAAGTAGCGAGTGAAACCTTGTGGCATCTCTGTGAGGGCGCGTAGGGGTTCCGCCCATCCTACAGTCCCATAGCGGGAAGAAGAGACTCGCCAGCCAGTAGAATAGGGAGGGTTTATTGCTTCTCCAGGATACAGACAGATGTGGTTACAGGAGTCCCCGCCAGGATGCCTCAGACCCTTTGGGTTAGGGGGTCCATCTCCCCCCTAGACTCTCAGCCCTCAGCTTAGGCTGTTCCCTTCATGTTTTCCAGCCAGCAACTGACCCTTCCCCCCCAACCTCTCTTCCTTTGTTCCCTCCCTGCCCTCAACCGGTCGGACAGGTTGGGTCTTTGCCTAGGTGACGTTAGGCAGCCGTCCTGCTGGGCACTGCTACAGATACCGGCCAGTGGGGGTCACCCCCAGCCCAAACACAGCCACCAATGGATACCCAGAGTGTATGGCCTGGCCATTATCAGAATCACCGGCAAGAGGGCAGAGTTAAGAGTAGCTGGGCAGCCTCAGATGTGGTTACAGGAGTCCCCGCCAGGATGCCTCAGACCCTTTGGGTTAGGGGGTCCATCTCCCCCCTAGACTCTCAGCCCTCAGCTTAGGCTGTTCCCTTCATGTTTTCCAGCCAGCAACTGACCCTTCCCCCCCAACCTCTCTTCCTTTGTTCCCTCCCTGCCCTCAACCGGTCGGACAGGTTGGGTCTTTGCCTAGGTGACGTTAGGCAGCCGTCCTGCTGGGCACTGCTACAGATACCGGCCACTGGGGGTCACCCCCAGCCCAAACACAGCCACCAATGGATACCCAGAGTGTATGGCCTGGCCATTATCAGAATCACCGGCAAGAGGGCAGAGTTAAGAGTAGCTGGGCAGCCTGCGTCCTGGCATGGCCGAGTTTGTGAAGCCAGGGCTATGCCCCCTTAATGTTCCCTTAAACTACCCAAAGAAGAAAAATCCAAACATTTTAATTCTATGGCACCCAGCTGAGTTATTGGCAGTTGGCATTTTCAGAGATGCGCACTTCTTGTCTTAGATGCGCACATCTCGATTTGAGGCACCAATGCGCACCTGCTGTTACGATCCCCCCAGTAGGGGGCAGGACGCCTTGTTGCTCTTCTACAGTATCTATCCTCTCACCTGAATCATTCCCGCGCGTCTTCTATCCCAGTACCCACCACTAGGGGGCAGCGCCCGTTCTCTTTGGCGCTCTCCAATCTGCGTGCGACCTTCACTGGCCGCTGCAATATTGGACTCTGCCCACGGTCACTATCCCCTGATGGCGGAACAGAGTGTTCGGCGCTGGCTGCAGACACATCATGAGAAGCGCCTTGAGAAAGTTTTTCCCTCTTCGGGTGCCTGTTGGTCGGTTTCCAGGCTGCCATGCAAGGTGCCCGGCCAAGAGCTTCTCCCAACCCGCTGTCGTGGCATAGGTCTGGGAGTGCGGCTGCACGCTCACACACAAGGGCTGCTGATGTCCGAGCGCCCTTCCCCCACATACAGACCTTGGGCGCAATTGGGGCTGCCCAGGCTGGGGAGACACGGCCCGGTTCTGTCGGGAATGAACCCAGGCTCCCCTTGGGCGTTTTGACGAGTCACTGGGGGGGGG